ATCCTCAGATCTCAGCCTCCTGAGTAGCTAGGATTACAGGCGTGAGCCACCAGCGCCTGGTTCACTTTCTTTCTTACTCTCATCTAAAAAGGTAGCCTGTGGAGTTGGGATACTGGTTTGTTAACACTGAGACAGGGAGCCCAGGGAGAGGGGAATTCTGAATCAACCAACACCACTAGGTGTAATGTCTTAGAATGATTATAAAAGGTAATTTTCTTTCAATTCCAGGTATGGGTGAAAAATCATCTATATAATATAGTGAAAATAAAAGTATACAACTAATGAATTGGGACTATAATTTTCTGACAATGTACTATTTAGCTAACAACACTAAAGTAAATGACAGTACAGTTAGACTTTAAGGCACCAATTTTATCAAACAGAATACATTAAGAATGTACCATCAAAAGGGTAGATCGCTTTGCAATGACCGATAGCAGGCAAGGGATCATCATCCTCAAATTCATCATCAAACTCGTTGTGGTGACCATGCTGTTGAGGTGGCCCACGGACTTCTTGGTTTCCATCATCAGTGTAACTTCCCTCAGGACTAAAAACATAAAATTATCCCCAATCAAGTATCATTAATGAGAGAACTCTTCATGTTATTATTTATAAGCTGATCTCTTCAGGATCAATTCAGAAATTTTGTATCAATGACATAGTTCTATTATTAAGCCCTATTTTCTTAAACAGTGACAAATTTTTTTTTTAGGTTAGCATTTTTTTAAATTAATTAATTTATTTTTTATGTGTGAACATACTGTACAGAGGGGTTACAATTACATGGGCAGGATAATGCGTACATTTCTTACCAAGCATTGCAGCCTCCTCCTTTGAGATAAATTATTTCTAACACAAAATTCTTTTTTACTGAATTTCCTGTAATATTTTTTAATTAGTGTTCTAGACACATAACAAACACATCTCATTAACACTGGGTCTAAAGTTAAAATAAAAAATTGTAGTTCAACAAGAAATGTACTACTATATGTATGTAACTGTAACATCACCTTGACAATAAAATTAAATTAAAAATAAAAATAAAAAATTGTAGTAGACATATTTCCCACTGCATCATCCTAAATTCACTGCCTTCCTCTCTTGGCAAAAGAGCCCTAATATTCTGGAGGGAACCCACCCAGACCTGTGTTTGGTTGCTGTCTAAGTTGTTTCTACTGTGGACTCTGAAGGGCTAAGAACACAGTACTTTCATGATGGTAGTTAACCAGTAGTCCTGCAACCTAATCAAATTAAAAAAATGTACAGAGATCGCTGGCTGGGCTGGAAGAAAGCTCATTCCCTTTTTTCTTTGAACCTGGAGCTTTGGGGGAAAAAAATCACCTGATAGAAGATTTAAAATGAAATCAACACAGTAGAAGGTATAACTGAGAGACAGAAAAAAAGTGAGTCCAGAGGATATAATCTGGGATATTCTGCCGGGCGCTGGTGGCTCACGCCTGTAATCCTAGCTACTCAGGAGGCTGAGATCTGAAGATCGAGGTTCAAAGCTAGCCCGGGCAGGAGAGACCGTGAGACTCCTATCTCCAATAAACCACCAGAAAACCGGAAGTGGAGCTGTAGCTCAAGTGGTAGAGCACTCGCCTTGAGCTGAAGAGCTGAGGGACAGCGCCCAGGCCCAGAGTTCAAGCCCCACGACCGACAAAAACAAAACAATCTGGGATATTCTTTAAGTCAACCAATGAAGCCCATTTTTACTTTAAGTTAATACAAGTATTCATTCTGTTATACAAAACAGAAAGACTCCTAATAAGTCAATTTCCAATTTATCACCATGACAGAGAAGTTAGAAACCAACAAGTACTAACAATTACAATAGAAGAAAACAGGTAACACATTATCCAAAAAAAAAAAAATATATATATATGTATGTATATATATATATGTATATATATAAGAAAAAATAGTGCAATGTTTTTTGTTAATATATCAAAATAGCTGAAGAGATTTTAGTAACAGAACTTGCAAGTGGAGCTGTGACTCAAGTGGTAGAATGAGCAAAGGAAGCTCAAGGACAGTGCCCAGGCCCTGAGTTCAAACCTCAGGACTGGCACCCCCCCAAAAAAAGAAAAAAGAAAAATTTATAGGATTAGATCTTATAGCACTTTCAGCAGGTCTGAAAGACATGTTCTTAAACAATACATGCCAAATGAGGTATTTTTAATCTTGGTTTTATCCAGTAACAAAACCCAGTTATAGTAAGTCTCTTTTGAGGTACTAAAGACAGGAACTCCAAAGTGACAGGACAGATAAAGAGGAGAGGGTAGAAATAATACTTGAGAAGAATTTATCAAGTTATCAAGTATTTTATTTCTAGATGCTTTACATATTATTTCTTTTATGACTTACTAGCAATCCTGAAAAATGGTTTTGTTTTTGTTTTTGTTGGTTATAGGGCTTGAACTCTGGGCCTGGCAGGTCTCCCTCAGCTCTTCAGCTGAAGGCTAGTGCTCTACCACTTGAGCCACAGTGCCACTTCCAATTTTATGGTGGTTTATTGGAACTAAAAGTCTCACGGACTTTCCTGCCTGGGCTGACTTTGAAACCACGATCCTCATATCTCAGCCTCCTGAGTAGCTAGGGTTACTGGCATGGGCCACCAGCACCCAATGAAAAATGGGTATTTTAACTTCCATTTTTATATTCTAGAAAGCTCAGATTAGAGAAATATTAAAACCAAATTGGGCAAATTATACCAAGTTCTGATACTAGACCTCTCAAATTCTCTAAGGTAAAATCTAACTTATAGGTTTTTAATTATGGGGGAAAAATATATGTATATATGTACATATGTTTATTATACAAGGAAGAAATGTCACAAGTGCTATAAAAATGTAGAAAGGGCAAAATGTCAAGTTGAGTAGGGAACTTGCGAAAAGTAACAATATGCCCTTTCCCACCCTTTTTACTCTTTACCAAATCTTGAGCAACCTGATTTTTCACCAGTAAAAAATACCCAACTCCACCTTAGTCTTCCCACACCTGAGACTCCTCCTATGCCCTTAGATTGTAGTTCCAAAAATCTTCTAGGTTCCTAGCTGTTTGCAGATGCATGATAAACCAGAATTCAACAGCAAGATAGTAATTTCATACTTCACCTGAAACTATTATTAAAGGAACAGAAAATTACTTAGGTCTAAAAGATTTAAAGTTCTATAATGCCATCCTTATTAGGAAGGAAGAAAAAGGACTGCATGAACTTTAAGACAAAAGAACATGAAAAGGTTGGAAAAAAAATAATACAAGCCAAAGAAAGACCTTTCTCGTCCTTGTGTTACAAGATGATTTATGTCACTGCTATGTCTTCTGTCTCCTCTTCCACCTGTTTTGCCTTCAACTTCAGAAAGCCAAGCCTTAGGAAAAAAGTAAACAAACTCAATAATATGTTCAAAATCTCATAAGATACTCTAAATTTAAAATGTGCTTTGAGGTTTATATATATATATATGATTCTTTTTTGTTTTTAATTGGTCATGGGCTTGAACTCTGGGCCTGGGTGCTGTCCCTGAGCTCTTAAGCTCAAGGCAAGCACTCTACCACTTGAGCCACAGCACCACTTCAGTTTTCTGTAGTTAATTGGAGATAAGAGTCTCACATACGTTCCTGCCCAGGCTGGCTTTGAACCATGATCCTCAGATCCCAGCTTCCTGAGTAGCTACAATTACAGGCACAAAGCCACTGGCACCCAGCATATATGATTCTTAAAGAGGAGAACTTCTTCCAATTTGGTCAATGATCAATTTTATAGCTGATTTTATCATAGTTGAAAATGAACTATATAACTTGTGGGTAGGGACAGAAGGGAAAAACTGGGAGAGAGCCAGAGGAAGAGATGACAATGTCCAAAAAGAAATGTACCTAACTTATAGAACTATAACCCCTTTGCATATCACATTTATGATAACAATTAAAGTTTAAACAAAAAAACCCTCAGGGACAGTACCCAAGTCCTGAGTTCAAAGTCCTAGAATAGGCACAAAAAAAATTTAAAAACTTCAATGAAGGATTAATTTAACATTTACCAAAATGATATTTTAATCATGTCCTAAATTTAAACATAATTCTAGAAAAATCCAATAGATCACAATGAAGCTTATAAAAATAATATATTAGAGAACTGGTGAGTCAGAGAATCTACCTCATTCTTATGGATTTCCATCCGTAGGCGATCAATGTTATTCATGGTCTCAGCTAACTTAGGCTGCAGACTCCCTGGATCCCCCATCTGTGGGTTTTTCTCATACACATCTTTCATTTTATTGAGCGCATCTCTGAAAAGGAAGGGGGAAAAAAACCCACAGCATTAAATATTCACTTCGTATGTAGATAAGAATTTCATTCGTCTTCATAAACTCAAGTGCAGCTTAATTTTAAGTAATGGCATCTCTAAGTTTAGTCAAATGTTACTTGATTACCCAGATAATTTGCTTAAAGTTGTACATCAAATAAGAAAATGATCCTTTAAAATACTTGTAATGACAAAGAGAATAGATTTTCTTATGTCTTGTTACAAATTTTATTCATATATACATTAAATGACGTATACATTTAATAATGAACATATACTAAAGTATTCCTCATATTCTTAAACTCATTACTGTTTATTTCATTACCCATTACTGTTTATTATTTTGTTTTAAGGCAGGGACATTTTAAAAAGCCTAAGATGGCCTTCAACTCTCCATTCTCCTGCCTTGGCCCAAATGCTAGGATTACAGACATGTGCCACCAGGTCTGATTCTAAAGCAAAACTCATTCTATGCCGATCCAGCTACACTACTGCACCAGTGTTCCTTATCTCAGGTGATACAGCATCACTGTCCTCCCACATCCACGCTAGAAATAGGAATGCCATCTTTAAAATCTGCCCCTCCCTTGAAATCTCATTCTGTTCCCAATTCCTATCGCCCCTCTCCTCTTTCCTAACCAATGTCTAACGGGTGCTCCCTTACTCAAGCATCTGACCCCCATCGGTGGTACTAATACTCTCTTCCTTTTTGATCTGGATGTTACTTTTTCCTTTCCTCCTCCTCATTTTTGCTTTTTCATGTTCCCTCACTGGCTCCTTCTCCTTCTTTGTTCAAATTTTAAATGTCTATTACATAAAATGACAGAAGTTTCTTCTCAATCTCATCCTACACTCCTCATTTAATGGTTTCTTTAGTTTTAATACCACCGAACTTCAGATGATTCACAAATGCACATCTCTAACCCTCTTTCTCTCCTAAGTTCAAGATGCATACTTCCAAACTCAACTATATACTTCCAATGTAGACTTTTCACATATTTCAAAAATCAATAAAATCATCATTCTTGTCCCCAATTTTTATTATTTTCTCTTAATGTTATAGCTATTCTCCTGTGCTATATGGCACAAAACAAAAAATTTTATAAATAAAAACCTTCCTCCATTTTTCTTTTTTTGGACATCCAGTCATAAAAATTACAAACTACTACAGGGCACTGGTGACTCATGACTATCTGAGGATTGCAGTTCAAAGCCAGCCAGCCACCTAGGCAGGAAAGTTCATGAGACTCTTTTTTTTGGGGGGGGGGGGGGGTCTCCGGTCGTGGGGCCTGAACTCTGGGCCTGGGCGCTGTCCCTCAGCTCTTCAGCTCAGGGCTAGCACTCTATCACTTGAGCCACAGTGCCACTTCTAGCTTTTTTTCTTTTTGCTTATGTGGTGCTGAGGAATCGAACCCAGGACCTCATACATGCAAGGCAAGCACTCTACCACTGAGCCACTGAAACTCTTATCTCCAATAAACCACTCAGGAAAACTGAAGTGGTGCTGTGGCTCAAGTGGAAGAGCACTAACCTTGAGCTGAAGAACTGCAGGGCAGTACCCAGGCCCAGAGTTCAAGCCCCACAACCAAAAAAAAAAAAAATTACAAACTACTGCTGGGGGTAGGAGAGAAGGCCTGTACTGTAATCCCAGCAACCCAGAAGGCAGAACTCAGGAGAACTAAGAGGGTCAAGGCCAGCCCATCTAAAGGGTTAGCAAGTCTCCCATCTCAACACATAAGCCAGATGGCTAGCTATATTGGTATGTACTTGTGGTCCTAGACACCGGAAGGCATAAGTTAGATTATAGTTTGAGGCCAGCCCCAGGCAAAAACATAAGTTCGTCAAAAAAAAAAACCTAAACCAAAAAGAATGAAGGTATGGTTCAAGCAGCTTAGCAAGTATTTGAGTATTGTTAATAAACAGAAAGGTCCTAGGCTGGGAACGTGGCTTAGTGGTAGAGTGCTTGCCTAATATGCATAAGGCCCTGCATCCAATTTCTTGGTACCACATAAGTAACATAAATTAAAACATTTCAAAAAAGGGGTCCTACACTGGCTTTGAAATGACACTTGTATAATTCCCTCCTTTTTAAACCATGGCCATGCTTAATTTAGGCCCCTGGTATCTCTAAAGTCCCCTAACTAGTCCCCTGCCTCAAATCACCTTCTCCTATGATGTCTTCATACAACTTTAAATTACCTTTCTTTAGAACATGGCCTCTCAACAAGGGCTGGCAATCCTCAACAGCAACAGAACTCCACAGAAAAGCATTCGTTTCTTTACTCATCCTATACCTTCCTACCCACATCCTATCATTATACCCTACCCAACTTCCAGTTAACTCTCCCTAGATCAGAGATAATTCCAGGTCATGGCAAGAACACATTTATGCCTTTGTTCTTGTCTTTCCTATGGTCCTCTCCCTCCCCTTCACTTTTTTGTCTGACAAAAATCCCAATTTCCTATCAAGGTCCAATTCTAATTATCTGAACACAGTACCTAGAAGCTAACTAAATGTTGCAAGCTATCTAGACTTAGACAAAGTATGTATTTGCTTGATACCCTTCTTCATACAGGGGTGGACACCTAGCCCATAGGACACATAAGGCCTTGGAATCTTTTCGGATGTGACGGCACAGACACATATGATTCTCTTATGCTCATAGTCAACTGCTCACAGCCCATCTGACTGTATTGATTATTTTGTGTGGTCTGAGGATATTATACATATCCAAATGACCCCCTTGGCAGGAAAAAAAAAAGGCTCCCCACCTCAGAAAGAAGAAAATCCTCAGAAGTCTATTTTAAGAAGTTCAAATGATATACTCCATGTAAAATGTTTAGCTGAGTACCTGGCACATAATAATCCCTCAATAAACATTCATTTCCTAAACCATAGTTCTCCTTCTTCCCCTTGTCTCTCCCCCATAAAGGCTTCCCCAATTATCTCAGGAAAAATTCCTTATTCTTTCCTCTAGTTGTTTTCTTTTTTTTTTGGTTGGTCGTGGGGCTTGAACTCTGGGCCTGGGCACTGTCCCTCAGCTCTTCAGCTCAAGGTGAGCACTCTACCACTTGAGCTACAGCGTCACTTCTGGTTTTCTGGTGGTTATTGGAGATAGGAGTCTCATGGTCTCTCCTGCCCGGGCTGGCTTTGAACCATGATCCTCAGATCTCAGCCTCCTGAGTAGCTAGGATTACAGGCGTGAGCCACCAGTGCCCGGCCTCTAGTTGTTTTCTTTTGTTTCTGTATTGGTGCTAAGTTTTGAACTCAAGGCTTGGAACTCTCTTTTGCTTTTTGTCTCAAGGCTAAAGCTCTACTACTGGAACCACACCTCCACTCCAGCTTTTTGCTGGTTAATTTGAGATAGGAGTCTTTCAGATTTGTCTGACCTGCTTACTTTGAACCTGAATCTTCAGACCTCATCCTCCTTGAGTAGCTAAAATTATAGGCATAAGCCACTGGCAGCTGACAGCCTATAGACTTTCCTAATTTACTTCTATCTCTACTAGCAGCTACCACAATCCAGCTTATATAAAAATTAAGTCGGAAGTGGCACTGTAGCTCAAGTGGTAGAGCGCTCACCCTGAGCTGAAGAGCTGAGGGACAGCGCCCAGGCCCAGAGTTCAAGCCCCACAACCGCCAAAAAAAAAAAAAAAAAAAGAGCCTTAGTTTATGGGGCTGGGAAGGTGGCTTAGTGGTAGAGTGCATGCCTTGCAAGCATGAGGCCCTGGGTTCGATTCCTCAGCAACAAATAAACAGAAAAAGCCAGAATGGCGCTGTGGCTCCAGTGGTAGAGCGCTAGCCTTGAGCTGAAGAGCTGAGGGACAGCGCTCAGGCCCAGAGTTCAGGCCCCATGACCCCGGCAAAAAAAAAAAAAAAAAAAAATTAAGTCATCCTCAGTCTTGTCTTCCCCAATTAGAATGTAAAATGCTTAGGATCTGGGAATAAGCCTTCAATTTAAAATATATATATATATATATAGCCCTAGCATGGATTGTAATATCTATGGTACGCACCAAATATTAAACCAAACTATATTTTTATATATGGCTCTATTGAGAAATGCTGTACCATCCAAAAATCATTTAAATTAACATAGATGCCCTTCCTTATTGGCAGATTCATGTTTGGAAATTTACCTACTCAAATCTGCTAACTCCAGAACTGGTATTCAAAGCCATTTCCTGTCTGGGTGCTGGTTACTCATGCCTGCTATCCTAGCCACTCAGGGCTGAGATCTGAGGATCTGGTTCAAAGCTAGCCTGGGCAGGAAAGTCCATGAGACTCTTACCCCAATTAAGCACCAAAAAAACCCAGAAGTGGAGCTGTGACTTACGTGACAAAGAGTATTAGTTTTGAGCACAAAAGTTCAGGGACAGCACCAAAAACAAAACAAAACAAAACCAAAATGCTTTCCTGGTAACTCATGGACACAAAGAAAAAAATTCAAGTCACAAGAGGTATACTAGAGTATCCAGAAGAAGTCAGGCAAACAAAAGACACTCTGCCTTCTAATTCTGGTACTCATCGTCTGAATAAGTATCCTATTTGCAACTTATTATCACGTTTTCTGCTGGTGATCTTGGTATTGACGATGACTTATATACATGGTACTCAAGTGCTATCCCACGCTGCTAAGCACATCTATAATTCCTTTACAGAGAAATCATGGGTTACATAAGCCTTGTTGAGGCATAATTATAATGCCATTGGCACAGTTTAAAATATTAAACAGGGTGTCTTTAAATAGAAACATACATGAAATAAGGTTATATATCTGTTGATAAAAATGTTGAGCTAGGGCTGGGAAGGTGGCTCAATGGTAGAGTGCTTGCCTTGCATACATGAGGCCCTGGGTTTGATTCCTCAGCACCACATACACAGAAAAAGCTAGAAGTCGGTGCTATGGCTCAAGTGGTAGAGCACTAGCCTTGAGCTGAAGAGCTCAGAACAGTGCCCAGGCCCAGAGTTCAAGCTCCACAACCAGCAAAAAACAAAAACAAAACAAAAATGTTGAGCTAGGGGGCTGGGAAGGTGGCTCAGTGGTAGAGTGCTTGCCTTGCATGTCTTAGGCCCTGGGTTCAATTCCTCAGCACCACATAAGCAAAAAGAAAAAAGCCGGAAGTGGCGCTGTGGCTCAAGTGGTAGAGTGTTAGCCTTGGCTGAAGAGCTGAGGGACAGCGCCCAGGCCCAGAGTCCAGGCCCCATGACTGGACCCTCCCCCCCCAAAAAATGTTGAGCTAGTGGCTACCTCAAGCCTGACTCTGCATTCATTCCTGGAACAATGTTTCAGTATTCAATAATTCCGTGTTTATGGTGATTTTACAGACGATAACTATTGCAGATGAGAATGGGCTGTAATGTAATCTCATTCATAATTGAATATCCCATATATATTTTTTATGGGCGGGAGGGGGCTGGCAATACCAGTGTCTCAACTCAGCGCCTTGCACTCTCACTTGGCTTTTTCACTCACTGCTAGTGTTCTACCACCTGAATCACACTTCCAATTCAGCTTTTTTTTGCTGGTTAATCACAGATAGAATCAAATGGACTTTTCTGTCGGGGCTGGTTTTAAACCATGACCCTTAATTTCTTAGCCTCCTGGCTAGTGAGGATCACAGGGCGAGCCACAGGCACCTGGCCTGACACACACTTCTTTTGTTATTATTTGGTAGTTTTACTTGATCCAGGGTCTTCCTTTATAGCCCAGACCAGCCGAAAGGTTTAGACCCTCTTGCCTCAGCTTCTCAAGTGTTAAGATTATAGGAATGCAATATCATGCCCAATAAGATACATGATTCTTAATATCAAAGCTTTAATTTCTCAAGCTGGACATCCATAGCTTGTACCTATAATCTAGCAGCAACTCAGGAGGCTGAGATCTGAGAATCAAGGTTCTAAAAACAGCCCAAGTAGACAAATCCTCAAGACTCTGATTTCCAATTAACCAGCAAAAAGCTACAAGTGGAAGTGTGGCTCAAATAGTAGAATGCCAACTATGAACAAAAATCTGAATGACAGTGAAGGTTCAAAGTTCAAGCATCAATTATGGCACAAAAACAAAAACAAAACTTTAATTTTTCATGCTAGAGTTTAAGCCTTAATTCTATCTTCTGTGAAAATATACATAGTAAATAGCTGCAAACATAACAAAAATTTAAACAAATAAAGTAATCAAGCAACATTTTGCAGCAAACTAATTGGACCTTCAGGTTACTACTGAACTCAACTTGTACTCTAAAACTAATGTTTATAAAACTATAAGATAGTGTTGGTAAAACTATATAATAAATCACCAGCTATATTAAAAATTTGTGGAAAGCAAAAACATGTTCATAGCAACAAAAAATCTGCATCAAAGAAATTCTCAAATGTTTTGTTTTTAGCTAAAACATCATAATCACAAAATTTGCAATCTAGGAGCATATTTTTCTTTTCTTTTCTTTTTTGTCGGTCAGGTCTGGGCACTGTCCCTCAGCTCTTCAGCTCAAGGCTAGTGCTCTACCACTTGAGCCATAGCACCACTTCTAGCTTTTTCTGTTTATGTGGTACTGAGGAATTGAATCCAGGGCCTCATGCGTGCGAGGCAAGCACTCTACCACTGAGCCACTTCCCAACCCAGAGCATATTTTTCTAACAAATTATTTGCATTGGGATTTCTTTCTTTGGGGGCATGCAGTGCTGGAGATGGAACCCCCCCATTCCTCCACACACAAATTGTGGATGCCAAATAAGCACTCTATCTACCACTAAGCTATATACACAGCCCAGCATATATGACTCTGAACCCCCCCCCAACATTATTTTTGTGTGTGACAGTCTGGGGTTTGAACACAATGCTTGGGCACTGTCCCTAAACTTGTTTTGCTCCAGGCTATTGCTCTACCACTTGAGCCACAGCACTACTTCTGGCTTTTTCTAAGTAGTTAATTAGAGATAAGAGTCTCATGGACTTTTCTGCCCAGGCTGGCTTCAACCCACAATCCTCAGATCTCAGTGTCCTGAGTAGCTAGGATTACAGGTGTGAGTCACAATGCCCAGCTTCCATACACATTTGAACACATCATTCAAAGCTTGAGAGAGGGCTGGGAAGGTGGCTCAGCGGTAGAGCGTTTGCCTTGCATGCCTGAGGCCCTGGGTTCGATTCCTCAGCACCATATAAGAAAAAAGAAAAAAGCCGGAAGTGGCGCTGTGGTTCAAGTGGTAGAGCGCTAGCCCTGAGCTGAAGAGCTGAGGGACAGCGCCCAGGCCCAGAGTTCAGGCCCCACGTTTGGACACCCCCCTCCCAAAAAAAAAAAAAGCTTGAGAGATAGGATAGTTGTAGGACTTAAAGGAACACTACTTTTGGTCTGATTCTTTCTGTAGTTCTCTGTTCAGTTCATCAATGCGCTGCTGTAACTTTTTACGCCTCTGTTCTGGTGGAAGATGACTGAAATCTTCTAGTGCTGGACCCTGAAAAGAAAATCTAAATCATTATTAAATAAACTTTTAGAAAATTTTATTTTTAAAATGTACCTGTTACAAAATGGGAAATATACCATAATTCTAAGTTTTAGTTTCAAGAATTTTTAAAGAGAAACTGCATAGATATGTGAATTAATGAAAACAATTATACTGGAAAGCTCACATTTCAGTTACTTTTTAAACCATGAAAAGAAAAAAAAAATCACCAAATACATGTAACTGGTCATCACAAGTGTCACATTACTTTCTTGGCATAGTTAAAATGAATACATATGAATCTTCTAACAGTAACAACAACAACATGGAAACATGTAACATTTCTCATCTATTCAAGTTATTATTTTACATATATGCTTACATATGTTTCACTGCCATACTTAAAATACTATAAACATTCAAACTAAAAACAAGAAGCACCTGTACAATGAGCTTGGTAAACAACTTACCTCACAAGACAACTCATGAAATGAGCTTCAATACTATATAGTCTTTTAAGTGATTATATTTATTAAATCATTCTTTAGAATCAAAACAAATTTTAATCATTAAAAAACAGGAGGTAAGACAATCTACTGAGGAAAAAATTGCATTCACACATGGAGTATTATTGCATTTTTCCATATGTAAAATCAAGTAACATCTCTCAGCTGCTCCTGAAAGAAAAAATAGGAAGGATCTAATCCATCTTTCTCCTTTCCTTCTTATTAACATACTAATTAATAGTATAAAGGGGTTTCCATTGTAATAATTCCACAGATATTATATATATATATATAATTCCATAGAATAGTATTATATGCACTTTTTTCATAATCATAGGGATTGAACTCAGGGCCTCAGTGCAATCTGAGTTCTTTTGCTTAAGGTTAGGGCTCTAGACACTGAGCCACAGTACCACTTGCGGTTTTCTGGTGATTAATTGGAGATAAGAGTCTCATAGACTTTCCTACCCAGGATGGCTTTGAATCACGATCCTTAGATCTCAGCCTCATGAGTAGCTAAGATTACAAACATGAGCTACCAACACCCAGCTCCACTATTAATTATATCTTCATGTTTTTCTTTTCTTTTGAAACAGGATCTCAGTATTTAGCTCAGACTGGCTTAGAACTTACAATGCTCCTGCCTCAGCTCTTCAAATCGACTATAAGCACCACCATGCCCAATCCTTCAGTAAGTTTTGTTTTGTCTTTTTTTTTTCTGCCAGTCCTAGGGCTTGAACTCAGGGCCTAGGTGATATCCTTGATCCTCTTTATTGAAGGCTAGCACTCTACCACTTCTGTTGGGGATGGGGGGAGTTAGGAGGTAGGGAAAGTGTTTCATTGGAGACAAGGATTTCATGGACTTTCCTGCCAATATTAGTCTCAAACTGCAAGCTTCAGATCTCAGCCTTCTGAGTAGCTAGGATTATAGGTATGAGCCACCATTGCCTAGCCCAAGAAGTTATTCTTGATGTATGAATTTTTAAAATATTTTTATAAACAAAAATCACATAATTTAAGAAATAAATGTCAGTATTTAGAGTAAAACTTTTATACAAATGTCTTTTCCTCTTTTCTTGGAACAGGGTCTGATATGTAGTGTAGGCGTTGCTTTGAACTTGAGAACCTCCTATTTTAGCTTCCCAAGTGCTAAATTACCATACCCAGCTCTCTTTTTCCTGTTCAATATTATTTCAGTTATTTGCATTTAGCTACTAGAAATTATAACAGAATCAATATTAGCAATATTGAATATATTCCAAAAATTGATGTATTTCTTTCCCTTTCAAAATTATTCTTTAAAAAATTTTTAAGGCATTGCTGAAATAAACTTCCAAACTGAAATGCATCTTTGCTCTTTGGGATACTTAGGCCTATAATGACTGTATTTCACTATTTATAAGCTATTTTTACTTACTACTTTTTAAAAAGGAAAACCTCACTTTTAGAATGACGCATGACAAATGCAAAATTTAATTAGTAACAGAATCCCTAGACTCTTTTCCCTAGCAGCTTATATACCATGGAACAATCAACACGCTTCCTGGCAAAAAGCAGAGCACCTGTCTAAGTGGTTTGGTTTGTCTAGAGTTACCAGAAATAACAATACCAATCAATCTATATAAACAAAGGAATGCTAAAATTTGTTTCTTAAGTTATTATGTATGTGTCAAAGATAAACTTTTTTGTCTGTGTGCTGGTCCTAGAGCTTGAACTCAGGGCCTAGGTGCTGCCTCTGAGCTTTTCTGCTCAAGGCTAGCATTCTACCACTTGAGCCACAGCTCCACTTCTGGCTTTTGGTGGTTAACTGGAGATAAGAGTCTCACAGACTTTCCTGCCTGGGCTGACTTGGAACCACAGTTCTCAGAGTTGGTAAGAGTTGCTAGAATGAGCCACCAGCACCCAGGCCTTAATTCATATTTGTAAAAATATTTCTGAAAACCTTGAAAAATATTTTATGAAATGATGAAATACATTTCAATGTAAGCTTTTTTTTTCAGAAATGCAGTATTTTTTCAGAACTAGCCATGAATAAATCACATTTCTGCTTTTCTCTAACCAAACACTGTTATCAACTTGACTGCAGTAGATGTCTCATACCCCAGTTCAACATTACAACCTAATCTTACACAGGAAACAAGCACTAAAATCACTGCATTTCCTATGGGTATAAAGAAGCCCTCCCAGGCATTCAACAGTCTCTTACTATAAAGGATTTTATAAAAGGCTCAATTGTAATTGTCTGTAAGTCTCTGTTCTTATGCAATCAATAACTTGGAATTAGTTCTTCATAAAGTAGACCCATCAATCTGAAATAACAAGAGGACACACACACACACACACACACACACACACACTCTCACTCACTCACTCACTCACTCACTCACTCACTGCATTATTTGTTTCTGTTCCCGTTCAGTTGTAGAGCAATGACTCCATAAATGAAATTTAGGAAACCTTTTTCTAACTCTTTTGAAGAATACTAGTAATCTTGTAATAAGCTACAAATCAAATTTATATCATCATTAGACAGGGTGCTGAGAGCTGAGTAAATTAGTTTCTAAGTTTTCTTTCTGCATAACATGAAAACTCTTGCTCTACCATGTAACTTTAAAAATACTGCTTCATTTATTCTGGTGTATAGCATGACAAGGACTCCAATCAAGAACATTTAAGAATTTAAAGTGTTGATGATAGTTAACCACATTTTCTAATCTTTGACATTCAGAGGTACTTGTAATAATATTGTAATAAATATTAAAACACACACACACACACAAACAAGGTGAAAATGTGGGATGTACTTCACCACTGTTTTGAATTAAAACAATGTTTAGAGATTTTTTTTTTTAATGTTGGCATAGTATATTATAGATCAGCACACAAGGCTTACCATCTTCACCGACCACTGAATAGTTCAATGGAAAACAGAAAGAAATGGTAAATTATTCACATGAAACTGTAATCCAGGAGATGCAATAACCTATATTCTTAAAATATTAAAATAAATCATGTAAATCATGTAAATTTTGCAATCCAAACAATTATGCTAGAAAAAAAAACAATTTTAAGCACATTTTGGAAAAGCAAATAACTTGCAAAAAAGAAAAAGCAGCACACACTGATGATAATGGGCAGATATTTTCTAAGTTGAATTAAAACTCAAAAATAATCATTATATCAATGATGTAAAATTCCTGTTTTCATGGTATTTTATAGAGTTCTACCACAATTTTGAATCTATTAATATAGTTTCTCTCTAATATAAGAGAAGAAACATACATGTTTTAAGAGTGAAATGCTATCAATTTTCATATAAGTAGGTTTTACTTGTTCTTTTCAAAATTTTCAAAAAGTACCAGCATTTGAAAAATTGAATATAAAAGATTTAGTAATTAACTATTTAAAAAGAAAACCTTAGGTGAAAAACTGAGAGTGGCCTTCCCAACAATTAAAGAAAATACTATGGGGGAGGGGGGAGGCTAGGAAGGGATGTGAAGGGTAAACAAAGGAGGAGGCTGCAATGCTTGGTAAGAAATGTACGCATTATCCTGCCCATGTAATTCTAACCCCTCTGTACAGTATGTTCACAAATAAAATAAAATTAAATTAAAAAAAAAGAAAATACTATCATCTGAATTTTCATATTCCAAAACACCATTGTGAAATTAAATATATCACAGGAATCCAAGTGTATCATTTTTTAGCTTTTTTTTAGTGATTTTCTTAAGTGATAGCCACATTAAAAATTCATTATCAAAATAAGTACATTAGGCAGGTACTGGTGGCTCACACCTGTAATACTACTCAGGAGGCTGTAATCTGAGGATCACGGTTTAAAGCCAGCTGGGGCAGGAAAGGCCATGAGACTTTTATCTCCAATTAACCACCAGAAAACTGGAAGTGGTGCTGTGGCTCAAGTGAATAGCGAAGGGACAGCGTCCAGGCCCAGAGTTCAAGCCCCACAACTGACAAAAATAAAAAAAGTTACCCAGAATTAAATTCCCTAGACATACCTCCCAACAGACACAAATATAACATATAGGTTGAATTTAGCTTTAAAAATAGTTTCTATTTTTTACCTTTTATTCTGAAAACAATGTGCATCAAAAAACACCGAAAACTTTTAGCAAATAAAATTTATTCTGAAATATGAAATAACAATCTGAAGAGAACAATGGACTTAATAGAATAACACACATACACACGCACTCACACACACACACACACAGAGGTTACATCATATGAAGCATGCTTTACAAAATTAATCTTCACATTCACACATTTGACTAGTAGCCCTTAAATTTTTCATTTCTCAGGCTAGAGATGAATGTCAGAAGTGGACTGATTGCCTGGCATGCACAAGGTCCTGGGTTCAATTCCCAGTATCACAATAAAAATTCTTTTTTACATTTAGTCCCTGTTTTCTAAGTAATAATGTTTAAGAAAAATAGTAGAGAAACATAAGGAAGAATTTCATATAAAATTTTGAAAGAAATTTAATAA